ATGTCCCAAGAGATGTTCTGCAGAAATTCTCTCATTTTTGGATTCCAAGAAAATCGTTTGCGTACAATTGAAGCAAAAACCATCAGATGAATGGACGCAAAATGTTGCAAAATGGTGATCAATTGCACTCGTCAAGAATGAAAAGATAAATGAATATATAAATAGCTCTATCATTCAGTTGAATGAATCAAAAATCAATGAATTCAACGTCACAAAGTCAATGAATAATGGCAAAATGATATAATTCAAAAAAAAATTTCGGATACAATCGAAACGGACTTGTTGCTTTTCTTTAGCAATGCCGAATAAACGAACAATATTCGGATGTTCAAGTTGCGTTAATAAGCGTGCTTCTTTGGCGATTTCAGAGTAATCCCTTTCAAGATGATACAACGTCTTTATCGCAACCCTTCCCGTTGGTGAGCCACACCAATCTGCGCTGAACACCTCACCGAATGCACCCTTAAACTTAATCGTTTGCTTATTGCAATTTTTTAGAGCACTAAAAAGAATGTATTCGTTTCTGAATGACGCTATGAAGTGCAAAGAAACGTTGTAAAGATCAAGGAGTAGAGTTACGATCGGCTGGATTCTCAGAACACGAGCACTGCGATGTTGCAAATGTGAACTCAGTATTGATGAAACATAATGAACGATAATTCATTTCATAGTATAGTTTCAGACGAGTACTAAGAATTATGCAATTGTAACGATAAATCAATGAACCTGTCCAATTTTTGAATCGATTCGAATCGTTTCACGATCGATTATAGGAACAACCCTATAATCAGACGACGAACAGAGTGATGCCTCTTCCAGTGGAACACTCGTTTCTTCGGTATTACGACCAGTTCTTCTTGGCTTCCAGTTGATGTGTTTTAATACTTGCATTATATAAAGTAATGAGCATACGAATAATAAGATTATCAATGAAGATACCAAAAAAATTATCATAATCACAAAATGATTCATTGTTGGTTGCAGTTTACGTATTGCTTCTGTTGTTGCCGTTGGAATATCGAGCTGAATTTTGCAAGTTAATCGAGTTTTGAGGAATTGTGATTCAGTTGGAGATGGATTCGTTTTTGTTTATTAAAGAGAATACTGCAACGCAATGTTGTCGAATCCAGTATTCGTGAAATGGAAATCTTTTTATGATTCCTTAATCAATTTGTTTGGTACGGTGATGGTGCAACTGTGAGAAGTAATTTTTAATCGACAATAGCAAGGCTATTTGAGGTAAATGTAACGGATGAGATGGTGATTCTGATAACGAAAATTGATAATAATAATAATAACAATAATAATAATATTAAAACTGATTGAAAT